TATACAAGAAAAACATACAAAAATATAAATGTTTTTTTACATCCGGAAAAAATCTTATCAACGGCTCTTATAGATGATAGTGTACACATGTAATGTAGGCCTACAATGTGCGACCTTCTAAGTGAAGAAAGCATTTACACATAGAAAAATCTGCAGTAATCAAAAACATTGCTTTCCAAACTGTTCACCTTTGGTTTCCGTAGTAACAGAAAATAATCTCGACAAAATTACGAAATTACTAAATTTTTAGTTGAATGCCCTCAGCACAACTTGGCCTATGGACGAAAACGTAATCAGACCACCAGGTGCCCCAGGTGCGTCCTGTAGCCGTCAAGTATCTAGACTGGTGATCGAATCATTGACCAGACTAAACGAAAGACAAGGATCCAAGCCGAAGAATATCAAGGAATGCATCGAAGACATGCAAGGAACCCCGCTGTCCGACTCGACTGTAATGGTAACACTCAAGAGGATGGTCAAAAACGGCGTGTTGATGATCAGCGATGGACTTTTCTCAATCTTCGAACCACCAATATCGGTGGAGTCAGAGAGTATCTTGAACGCTCTAGAATGCCACTGCGGATGTCACAAGAGAGGAACACGAAGACAGAGCGCGCGAAGAAGGTTGAAGAGGAGGAAGAGCAGAAGCAAAAGGACAAAGCAGCAGAAAAGAAAGAGTTGTAGACCTCGAAGGAGGCGTCGCGTCAGAAGACGAGGAAGAAGGTGTGCAGATCAGACTGAATGGCAATGTGATGAGTGTGCGAAAAGAGAAAAGGGCTTGAAAGGTTGAAGATGTAAGTTTTACCGGACGAATTATACGTTTGGATTATTTAAATATTGAGTATCTTTATTGGGGTTTTTAAATATTCAAAGTATAGCCAAAATATTAATGTTCGACAATATTCAGGCTTGTGTTTTCTGTTGGTAAATGAAACTGTGGAAAATTATATAAGTTTGCAAAGGTAAAGGAACTCTAAAGACTGATTACCACCAAGGACTTTTTCATCGATAAAATAAAATGTTATAATTATTATTATCAGTTGAAATTAAGAAATTATGAATTCAAAATAGTAAAACACAAGTTAAATTATACTTAAAGGTTTTTTACCTACTCATTCTTTTAGCGTATTATAAACATTATTGTACCAACATTTGACCGTACAACCTAAATAAAAACATAGATTCCAATGCGTTTCATCAAATGTTGACAATAAATATGCTAAAATTGACAAGTTTTTAGCGTTGAAAACACAACACGCAGTATTTCAAACAACCCTAAAGTGAATTTTAAAACAATTGTTATTAAAATGCCTTGTTTAAAATCTGAACTAAGCTTTATTGTGAGCTTGAGAGGAGAGGAACAAGGTAAGTCCTTGAGTGTCGGATTAGTGGATAAAGAAGGTTTTAGGCAAGATTTTTATAAAAGTGACAACTTTGTTCACCTCCGTTTCTGATTTATAAAAAAATACCCCCGCCGCAGCAAACCTGCCGTCTTAGCGAATTTCCATTTGGCCGAATTGATTTTCAATTGATCTATTTAAATAACATTAGGTTTAACGAGTACCTAGGTTTGCTGCTACAAGGAAACTAATAAAGTAGTGTGTTTTTAGTAAAATATTGATAGCTTACTATAAAATAAATAAATTTGCCAAGTTTGATCAAAATATATCCATAAACAAGCAACCTACAACATTTTACAATATTCTCTATAAGAATAACATGGGAATTTTAAATTTACCATTTTTTTAGTTTTCTCCGTAACCAATAACCGTACAAAAACACTTTGATATACTGAATTGTTAGTTTTTTTAAGCTCTTTAAGAAGGTTTAGAGAAAGATTGGGAAATTTTGTGTTTTGAGGGTAAGAAGTGAGAAAAACCAATTTTTACCCCATAAAACCCCCCATAAAACCCTGTTCCCATGGTCCGATCATGCTGGATCGCGAACTCATTCAAGTTTATCCCGCCTTACACCTTCAAACCAAATTTCATCAAAATTGGATAAAAATTACTCAAGTTATCGTGTTCACGGACACATATATATATATATATAAATCTATATATATATATATATATATACATATATAACAATCTGAACGAATGGTGTTTTTGGCCTCTGGGGACATTAAAATGAAAATGTAAATCGGTCCCGGGCCTAAGTCTTACCATGAGACCTACGGTAATAGCTACTTCCCTATAGGGAAATTCGCTAATAGCTACTTCCCTATAGGGAAATTCGCTAATAAGGCGAAAAAATTATTATATTAAGTCTTATTGGTGAAAATTAATTACCAAGGGAGTACGTGATGGAAATCTTTATATCTCATATGTCAAAATAAAATGTAATTTTCATATAACACATTCCATTTATATATTCTGTCACATGACTACCACTGTGCTGTACGTTATAATACAACTAAAGTTTGAGGTAATGACTTGGTTCTAATCCAAGCAATCTTAACCCAACCCAAAATGAAATAGCCTTAACTAACTTAAAGGTAAAACTAATTTTAAATTCTAGTATACTAGTATATGTTCTCATCAAACTTAAGTATTCAGTAATCAATCTTCATAAATTCTCTGAGAGGTTATTTTTTTCGTTTGAAATCACTCACTGCCGTTAGAATATAAGACTTCTTAGTAGCAAACTAGTATGATAATATCTTATGTTTACGTAATATATGAGGGTTTAATTTTTTTTTAACAAGTATTTATTTCAATCTATTCAATTCTAGAACAATAAGTAAATTTCATGACAATTTTAACATGGGTTAGTTACACTCCATCAAGTGCACTAACATACAAAAACTTATAAAAAGTTTAATTAAAAACGATTTGGGAGGTCTATTGGATTAACTCTTTTGGGCCTATATGTTGCTTCACTATTATCGAGGAGGTTAACTGCCAGGGAATTTCTTTGATATTTTTTGCTTGGTTTTTTTTATTTCTTCTCTAATAAAGGGCAATTTTGTATCTTGATGAATAACTTTATTTGTGACAAACCAAGGTGCTTGTAAAATATTTCTTAGTGTTTTGGATTGAAATCTTTGAACTATTTCTATGTTTGAGTTCGAAGTGGTTCCCCAGAGTTGGATACCGTAGGTCCAAATAGGTTTCAATATAATTTTGTATAAAAGTAATTTATTTTCAACAGATAATTTCGAATTTCGACCAATAAGTAATTTCGGTAACTGCAAATAATTGTCAGCTTTCCGGGATAAATCCACGTGTTAATAGTTAACTAAAATAGAGTAGGTAGTGTGGAGAAAAGTGGTGTATCACTAAATAAAAAATGGCCAATCTGGAATACCGCTGACATTTAACGCAACGACAACGTTTCAAGTTAAAGTGGGGACTCGAGTGGTTCAAGAAAACACAAATATGCAGACCAATACAAGTCGTACAGTTTATTGTGTACATTCCCCAACACAAGCCACCAACCCTGTCTAATATATCCTGCAGTAACATTCTTGTTTTCTTTCTTACAACAGCTTTTCCGAGAAAATCTTACAAAATAGTCAGTGTTTTCCTGGTTTAACCACATATTTTCCTGGTTTTCCTGAAACGTATTGTTGTACTATTAGACTTTCAAGCCAAAATAAAAGCGGGTGTTATAAGAAGTTTTGCCGGACTGTAAATTTCTCACAAAAATAAATCAAGTGTTGACTAGAAAAAAATATTGACTTAAAGGGGTTTTAGCTTTATAAAAAAAAGCTTTGAAAATTGTGATTTTAAATGAGGATGAAGAAAGTTCCTTTGAATTTTTCTTTGGCTATTATATTTTTCAATTGCGTTTCACAGACTGTATTGTAAACAAAGGATATTGTTTTTAAGCTTATCTCAACATACCTTTATATATGCCTTTTCATATTTCACGAAGACAGAATCAAAAAATCCAACCATGGAAGCATTTTTTACTATCATTAACCACAAGACAAAAGCTACCTTAAACCAGCATTAATTCAAAAACAATTATATGCTTGCTGCGTTTAGCAGAGTTAAACCTCTGGAAAAATTCAAATTCTTTATTGAAAATCAGCAAACAAAGAGACTGTCATTTGACACAGAATATATGGTGTACAAGAATATCCATGATTAGATTCCGAGTTTGTTTAAATATTCCAATAGTTTGTTTCACATTCAAGCTTCTTGGGAAAAGTCCACTAGCACATGTTAGTTTTGATCAACAAAAATAATAAAAAAATGTTTTCAATTAATTAAAATTGAAATTACGTTGAAGCCTTTGTAAACTTAATTTAATTTTTTTTCTGAATACAAGTTTATACTAGTCTCTTTGGCTACGAATAAAATCCTACAATGTTTCATTTTTAATTAAATTTCTTTACATTGTGATAGATATTAGTATTTTCATCCTGCCAAACAGCTGATCACATTGATACATTGATACAAGTTGTAAAGTTACGTTTTTTATAGCAAATGATGGGAATGTAACATTTTATTACAGTTTAAACAACCACCTTTTTATTCACTGTCTCTTCTTCTAATAAGAATCAAGGGGTTAGCAACTAGTAAAATAATAAATAATTTAAGGTGTTAAACTGAATTATCAACAGTTGATTATGAAAACATGTTGTTTATTTCTCGTAAATATTATAATAACAACAATACCTAATAGTTCTAACATGCAAAATACAATATACAAACATGTTAAGGAATATTTGATCTTGTTAATTTCACTTAGTTAAACTTTAGTTGATTTAGACAACCTATATTTATACAACAAAACTGAGCCTGATATGTTGTTAAAACTGTACTAAACATATTGATAAAATTAGTAAAAGGTGTATAAAATACAATAAAAATAATTTATAAAACGAACAACCATGGAGAATAAGTTAAAATTTAAATAACATATGTTAAGCTGTAAAAGTATTGTGAATACATAATTGAATATTGTCATGTTTACTTAACATCGTAAGGTTAAAATAAAAAAAAACGATGTAAATTAAGATCTCTTTTGAAAATAATATAGTTGTGGTATTTAATGTGTAGGCCTAAATAAAAACGTATACATTAAAAACATATTACAGTTTAATTAGCATATAAAAAATAATCGGATAGTAACTAATTTTTATTAGGAAATTAGCTCCCATAATAAATTGGAATTATTAGTAGTTATAACACAAGTACGTTATTTATTTGTAATAGCAATACATCATTTTAACATCTTTATTACATATATAACTACCCTATACAATGCCTATACGTACTAATAACACAACTAGTTTTAGTTAACAAGTTAAATTAAAAATGTACACTAAAGCAGTAATAATACAAAAATACATTATTTGATCTTAAAAGATAACTAGAGTATTATCAAGATTCAGATCTTTAAATTATTAGGAGGTGTATAAGTATTTAAGTTAAAAACGTAAAAGGTATAAAGTGTAAAAACAATATCAAGGATATTAATGAGTATAAATCAATGAACATAGCTTGCTGTTACAGCTGATAAATACTTAAATGTAACAAACAAAGTATTTTTACTTTAACCAACAAAGATTAAAACGTATATCGGTTATCTAAAAATAGAGATTCGTTACAGAAAACAAGCAGACTTTTAAAATAATTATTTCTAACCGATTTTATTTTTATTTTGGAAGACACATGCACATTTAAAAAATCAAAACACCAATATTAAAATCAGACTTGGAAAAAACTATAAAAACATTTATATAAAAAAATTATATAAAATAAAAACACTAAACATTTTTAGGATAGTTATATACATGTTTGTTCAAATTGTTCACTTTGTTCACCATGAAAATATAATTTATATACGAGTCCAAAAATACTTACTTTAAAGTAACGCTTATAAGTGACCGATAAGGTATTTACAATATGTATATATTTTACATTATTTACAACTGTTTGTACATGAAGTCAGTCGGCAAAGTCGGTAACAAACTTCATCATTTACCTAAAAATTATATCGATAAAACAAATTGATCCAAGATGGGTTACCTTTTTCCAATTAATAACAACAATATTAACTTCAGACAGAAATTCAAAATAGCCTTTACGTTAGTGGTAAAAAAACACATTTTTTAAAACTAGAGAACAATATTTTCTTACTGAATTTAAATTAACCTAGCTCTAAAAAACTAATAAATAAGTAAAAAAAATGCCCAATAAAAGTATTGATTCGTCTGAAATATAAAACCCGTCGCATCCAAATAGAAAAGCTAATTAGTAAATGTTTTTCAGATCTTTCGGTAAAGTGTTAAACAAATGAAATCATAATATACCTTGCATACATACTAAACTAATTAAAAAAGTCAGATTCACATTTATCGATCAAACTTTCCATCTTGGATATAAAAAATTACTATACATAAAATAAAGTAACATCAATGGCTAAATGTAACATTAACTGTAACTATGTCCATCGCCTGTACACTGATATTGTCAAAGGACTTAACATTACTAATCTTATGTAACCCTGTCAACGACGTTTGCACTATACTCTTGGTCTTCAGCCCTGTGAAAAACGTTCTAGGATAAAACGCACTCGAGGACAACTGCACCCCGCACTTGGGGATGGAGACATCGGTCGCCACGGAACACGCAAACCCTTGCCGATGGAGGAGTAGGAGAGCGGATTCAGAAGGAAACTGGGTGAAGGCCGGGTCAGCCAAAGTCCTAAAGTTCATTAAATGCACATCACAAGGCAGTGGCTTCGATAAAAGTCCCACTTTAGAGTGAAAGTTCAACTTTGTCTTACCTGTATCGTCGGTTGACTGCGGTTCGAAAATGAAAACGTTCGGGGGATAAAGTAAACCTAGGGATAGGTAATTCGCTAACAAACTAGGTTTGGAGTACTCGTTGGATTCGTGAGTGTTTTCCAAGAGTAGCCAAAACTTGGTGAGTGTTCTTTTATTGTCGACCACACCTTCGCCCATTCCTCTCGAGTCGTCGTAGAGTGTTCTTCTGTCCAGCATCACCTCGAGCCATCCTGTTTGCCAGGACGCAGCTCCCTGTGCATGGTTTACCAACAGACTCAGTCGGTGCTTGGCATCTTCCATGTAGGCCATAGAAGTCAACGGGAAGTAATTACCCTCAATACCAATTCTCTTCACCTTGATCCTCCTCTGCATCTGGAAACCGTTCAGATCTGAGTAGAACTCCGGCGGATCGCCGTTGCTAATATCACTTATCACCCTCATGAACAATTCTGTTTCTCTATTCTTCGGGGGAGCTTCAAAGTCTATGAGATTCTCTATGTAAACCCCTTGACTCAAGGGACCTGGTTTGTGATATATTCTTACAGAGTGAGCAAGGAAATTTCCGTATATCACAGTTATCTCAGAAGACACTGGGCCAGAGGTTATGATAATTTTCTGTCCTGGGTAGTCGTCTAAAATTTCTTTCTCGGTTTCTTGCAGGTTTGGATCAGGCTTGAAAAGATAAGCGCCAGAATGGAACTGGGCTGACATGTATGCTGCGAATGAAATTGCAGCTTGAGTTGTCTGATTTGTAGACTTTTTCGTAATAGCTTTGAGGAAACCCGATCTACCGTCCAAAAGCAATTTCAAAGCGTGGTTTTCCAATTGTATATCACCTACTTGCATTGGTTTCACATCAAATTCAGTGTGCTTTTTACACAATTGACAATATATCACAGACCTAAATTCAAAGTTTTTCTCCGTTGAGTATTCAATAATGTAAGTAGTGAGTGACAATGGAGGCAAATCAGCGACAAACATAAGTTCAAACTGAGTTTTTGAAAGCCTCATATTGTTCTCTGAAGAATCATCTTGTCTTTTGTTCCTTGCTAATTTGTTTGTCATATTCCAAACAGGGTTGATTTGATATAAAACTGGATTCCCATCAGAGTCTACGACATTTACTTTAGGAGATAAAATATGCAGCTTAACAATGTCTTGTCTATGCTGAGCTAAAGAATTAAAAAGCACGATTTTCTTGAACTCCCCTTTTTTTATAAGGAGAGGTATCTTTCTGGGTAGTTTCTCATAAGATTCTCTATCCGTATCTGGAACTATTAGCCTTGCTGACGGAGGCACCTGAAGCTGACCCGCACTTTCCTTCATTGTCAGCAAAGTCTGCGCTGAATAACCTTGCACAAACACAGATTCCTGTATACCTTCATACATCTTCAGCGCGTAGTCATGCATTACAAACGACTTGGAAGTGCCTGTGATCGCATCATGGTGTTGAAACAACGCTAAATTCTGCCTCGCCCGAGTCAACTTTTCGTAATCTCGTTCTAAAACCTTCAACGTACTATTGAAACCCTGATGTCTCGCATAGTTCAGAGCAAACGTGTACAAAATTTCAGCAGATCTCAAATTCGCTTCCAACTCTCGATCGAGTATTTTCCAATAAGGTCTAGTAGTAAAATAACCACTCCAGTAAGCGGGTCTGCCTTCAGAAAAGATATCACTGTAGACAAAAAAGTCTCCCCTAATAGTTTTGAAATCCCTCATGCGTTCTTTCACAGCCAAAAAGTAGTCTTTGGGCGTCCCAAAACTGATTTCCGCATTATACTCCTTATGCTGATTTATATACTCAATAATCTTCTTATAATTTCGATACTGCTGATCCCACTCGATGTCGTGGTCGTATCTGAAGTCGTCACCGATCGGCATCAGCACAACGTTGTGGGGAAACAGCGATCCCGTCCTACCGTACTGTTCTAGAAGCAGTTCCGCTTTCTGTTTCACATTCTCATTGTCTATAGGCACTGCAGTCAGAGAGAACTCTGTATATTCACCGGATATCTTCCGGAAGTCAAAGTTGAGGCACACTTGGGGGTGGGGTCCACAGGAGTGTTTGATGGAGTAGATGTCGAAGGGTTGGTTGTGGACGAGGATGTCGCTGTGACCGTCTCCGTCCCAGTTCTGTCTCCAGAGGAAGTCCCCCATCTGCTTCTCCGCGAGCCACTGCTTCCACGCGTAGTGGATCCGCTGGATGACTGCCCCGCTAGAGAAACCAGAGGCCTTCAGGAGGTATGGGACTGTTGAGCCGTGGCCGAACGGATCGATAGACCAGCCGGAGCTCGGGGTGATGCCGAGATTGTTCCTCACCCACTGATGACCTGAAAAATATTGAAATTTAAATATCAGAAAAACTAAAAATTAATTTTAATCGGGTGGTACAAGGTACAGAATGATTAAAAACTAGAATACACTACTGTTGTTGAGTTGTGAAACAAAAGAAAAATATTAAAAAAAGCATAATGCCCAAATTCATTAGAAAATGTTCATTGATTTACATAAGTACTAAACTAATATTTACAAAAATTTTCGAAGTTTAAGTTCAATATAATGTAAATTACTGAAATAATTTTGCAGTTCAGTGTAAAATAATCTGTTACTTTATTCGGTTTCAAACACCTTTTAAATGTATCCCACAAATATATAATGAAGTGTCACACACATCAATTATTGATAAAAGAGTGAACAGTGAAAAGTTTATTAAGTATTATTAACTCAATCATTGAAACAACTAAGCTATCACAAGCTCTTTGTAAGTCGGATTAAGCACACCGTTCCAACATAGTGTTAAAATATTGAACATTAAAAATCATCCTTTCTTTTACATCCAACTAGCAAGTCAAATAGTTTTGTTCAGAGTTCAAAATGCACCACCTAAATTTGAAACTTATCTACAAGAGAATAAATAATGAATATAAAGTATAGAAGACAGAGAGAGAAGTTTGCCAGCAAATGATGCCCTAGGGGTTCTCGCAGGAGTCTGACTGTTTCAGGTTATTACATATGCAGTGTTCAGACCCACTGCTCAATTAATTCAATGGCAGGAAAAGGCTTTTGCAAAAGACTGTTAAAAGGTTTACTCATTTAATTATGAAAAGTACTTTTTACACAATAGCAACAAACATTATGTTCTTTTTAGCCACAAAGGAATATTTGTTTGTATTTTGTATTACAGAGGCGAGTATCATTGCATTACAAAATTTATAAATCTAAATATACTGTTGACTATGTATTTGTGAAAAAATGTGTAATTGCTTATTGCTTTGCTTTTTTGCACATTGGAAATCAACTACTTTAGAGTTTTAAGATTATTTTAGTTTTTCTAAGTTGCTGTACAATATGTTTTAAGCAATTGTTACATGGTTTCATTATGATAAAAGTGTTTACATATTTTTCTCCACAATTGTCTAAGTCAATATTTTCTCTCATGTTAAAATTATCCTATACCTATATCTACTGTAATTTTAACCAATACTAATATTCCCCAATACAAATTTATTTCAAAAGAAATCTGTCTGTCCATGAACCTCTGGCAAAACTGCATTTAGTCATACTATCTGTGGTTTTGTAAGCAATTGTTCCCACAAAAGGATAATGAAGTATTAGTGTTGTACTGGGACTATTTGAAAATTACCCATCCACACTGTCAATGTGTTAGTAGCATCTTTTAACCAAGGTAGACTTTACCAAGTAACATACATTGTGATAGAAAAATGATGCAAGAAATGTTTACTTTTTTCAAGATGGTTACATATTTCCTAAAGATACAGTAACTTAAATGTATTGACCTATTTTTGGTTTATATCATATATTCTATCATTGACTAACACAGTCAATAGTTCTATCCATGAAATTTTGTTATGAAAAACGCTACACTTTTCAAGATACTGTAGTAGCATCTATTTAATAAAAAGAGATTTCAACTGAGAACTGAGTAATTTCAAATGTATTTACCTTCAATGAGTTGGTCCACCATGGCATACACATGTGATGTAGCTTCATCAGTCATGACCCATCCTCCAGTAGTAATCTCTAGCCTCCCCTCTTGTAACAGCTTCTGTACCATCTGTTTCTTGGTGGGGTGAGCACTGCGAACAGAGTGTAGTTGTTAGACATTTCAATTAGATTTGGTCAAGGTGAATAGGTGTGGGAAATTCAAAGCGAAGTTAGGTTGTAAGTTGTTTTCTTCAAATAAACAGGCCATAAAATGTACATGAAAGTTTTTACGAAGCAAGGATTGAGACGTAAATTGTTTGGATTGGAGACAGTTGTAAACTCTGATACACACCATTCACTGACTTCACACCATTCTATTTGGCTTTGATTGGTGTAAGAGTTAAAAGACTAAAGAAGTAGAGTTATTTGGTAAATGGTCTACATGGCATACAATTTTTTTACACATCAATGGGACATTCTGTGTTGGTTATTACAAAGCAAAAAGTGAGAATGGTTAGGACAAGGTGGTAGAGGCATTTTAGGTGAGTAGTTTTGATACGTGAAATATTTACAATAACTAGATTCAAGAGTATTGTCATCTTTAGAAATTTGACTGAATTTGAGTGGGATGATTGTTGTTGTGTACTTAGAAATACAAATGTAATTTAAGAGTAAATGGTATAGATTCAAGAAAATTGCAGTTGGGAATAAAATGTAGGCTTGGGTGAAATGAGGAATGGTTATCAAAATAAAGAATGTCCATAATTTATTGGTGAGATTATTAGTAATATTTTTTATGACTTTCCTGTTAAAAAGTATTATTTTGTATACAATTTTTGTACACAAGGTATTAGCATAGATAAAACGTTGGTTAGTCTATGGTATTAGACTGCTGGAGACTTTGTGTCACCGTATGCATAATTAATTTGTGAAAATACCACCCATATGTAGGATTACGTACTGTATCCTTTCCCATAAAAGTCAAATAAATTTAGAAAGTTTTGAGTAGTTTACGAAGACAGAGTAATACAATGTTATTAAGGAGGTTAAAAAAATAATATTTTGAAGAAAGAAGAAACCAGTTTAAGTTATTTAAAAATGAAAAGGTAAATAGAATAGTTAAGAACTATTACAATTATTTGTTACTCCTACACCATCTTTGTTCTTCAACCGATAAATTTTATTTTTGCTTTAGTTTTTTTACCCTAATTAAGAACTCAACAACTTAGTCAACAAACACGTCCTTTTTTTACCGGTTCACTATAATCTGTATGACGAAACATGTCTCTTGACCGGACGTCTACATGGAACTGAGCCTTAAACCATTGACCAGTCCTCAGGAAGACCTTGTTCCTTTAAACCATTTAGAACTTGCAGGGTCAGAAGACCGGTTCCATCATGCAAAGAAAAGGAGTTATTCATCTCTTACACATACAGACTTTACAAACAATTTACACTACAATCATTACGAGTTACTGTGAGAGGTACATGAAACCTGCATCTAGGTCGAGGTTGAACAATATTACTTGCCTAACAAGTTTACAGCGTAGAGTACTCGAGATCGCATTACGCCTCACATGTGATTGTCAAATTACGTCAGAGTGCTTGTCTCTGCTTCAGCGAGGCGAATTGATATTCCTCTTCGTACTTTCCACATCCAACAAGTAAACATTACATATTTACAACGCTTTGATCTGTCGCTTCAGTGAAATGGAAAACATCGAGAGCTTTATTGGCAGTAATTTGTTTGAATGACGTCACATTTTTTTATGAATAAAACATACTGTTTGCAAAATGTACAAAGCATTTTTGTTGGTTAAATGCAAGATTTACACGAATGTCGGAAGTGGATTTTAATGCATAATTTATGTTTATCGGAATTCTTTTTCCTGTAGAATATTTATAGTCTTTTCATTTCTAGATGTTAAATTCTAATAAAAAAAACTTCCCTAAATTCCATTGAATTTTTAAGCTATAATATTTTATCGATTTATAGAATCGATGTTTTGCCATATCAACTGAACATTTAAACAAGTTTACTCCAAATCAAAAATCTCTCAACAAATTAATAACTTCCTAACCTCACCTAATCTATTTCTTCGAGACCTTAAAATCAAATAAACATTTTTGTCAGTTCTACAATTTTAATAGGTCTGTCGATTTAATCATAACGAAGACAAGATCAATTTTAAAAACTCTAAGCCCACATAAAATTTGTAAACCACTATCTCTAGGGTAGTCATTTCTTAACAAAAATCTAATCCTTTAAATACAGGCCCAAGTTTAATTTACCCATACAGCTTCTAGACTTCCTAAATTAATTGTTGTTCACAGCTTTTTTGAGTAACAACTAAAAATTTCGAGATTATAGTCTGAATTATGGAACTTGGCTCTTGACATTCCCACTATCTGGGACTGGCCCGTCTAAGGAACATGTCAGCCTTAGTCAGCAAAAAGACTACAAGATCCCGCCACTCATCATCATACACTCATCTCCATTCGTACTTTGCTTAAAATACTTTGGTATGGTCACCATTTCAATTAAAAGTATTAAAGTAGACGCAGGCTCAAGAGACAGGTTCCATCATACACACTATAGATACTAACCTTTCCCACCAGCGTGCGAGGAACGACACCTCTGACCAGATGAAGGTCATGTTCTTCAGCAGCGTCAGCTTGTTGGCCATGTGGTTGAGGATGTTGCGGGTCTGGAAGTGGTAGTAGCTCTCGTACGTCTTGAGCCATCCCGGGTCGTTGTGCGAGTGAGGAACCAGGATAACCTACAAGGCAAAGATATATCTTGAGGATAACCTACAAGTGAAAGATATATATATATATTAAGGATAACCTGTCAAGGATGATAAGTATAAGACTTGCTGGATAACTGAGAAGTTTCAGTAATTTTGATGGTTCAAAACTGGACCCAGCGCTGTTCCTGATCATCGGGCTTTAAATAAATCCTGGCTGATGAAACAGCTGATCTTAATCAGTAACAAAGGTACACAAATCATCTCACTCCAATCTACAGTCTTCCTTCACTGATATTTGAGTTATAATATCACAACATATGTCACATATATATCACACATATGTGGCGTCCCTATCTCAATGATTGATAATCGATGATGATAATAATTGAGGAATACAATTGGCTAAAAAAGTCTGAGTCAACTTTGACAATAGTATAATTATTACGTAAAACTCCACAATTGTGAATGTTGTGTCCCACTAAATGCTTGTTCGTGGATTCATTCTACACTCGTCCTTCAATCATGGCTTAAAATACGCACATCGGATGAAAATACTTTGTAATATACCCTACTAGGCAATAAAGGCATGGTTTTCAAAGAAATTTGGCAAGCATAATTGGTTATGGAGGATTCTTACCTTTAGAGGAATCTTAGCCCATTCGGACTTCCTGGACTTGTATCTGTCTTCAAAGTTGCTATCCCAGTACTCCCGGCTCTTCATCCAGTAGGGCTGAAACAAGATTATAAATGTCAGAAACGGTCCATACAAATCTACGTTGTTAACATTAAAAACAACTCAATTACGAAAAGAATCTAGAAGTTCAAATGTCACACAAGCGTATTGTTACTAAACTGTAACAATCATTACATCGTACGTTTTCGTGTCGAGGTATTTCCCTCATGTTGAAAAAACTCTACTTGCTTAAGAATTTGACCTTACCTTCAGCACTGAATGTCAGTGCTCTAAGCTAGACTACCTGCATTTCTCTTCTACTAGAGGATATTTTAAGGTGTACATTAACAAAATCTTTTCCTCTAGGACGCTAGGCTTTAACTCGAGATCGATTTCACATTACTTCAGGCTAGACCTAGGAGTTGCAGCATTATCAATTAGATAACATCGCGGGCGATTGGAGGGATTGAACCCGGGACCACAAGGACAGAATTTCCACGCTCTGCCAACAGACCAGTTTGCTCTTCGACGTTTTAATAATAGCACTAAGATGATTCTAAAATAACACGATTCACGCTGGATATCTTAGAATAGTTTATTCACCACATATGCTAAACGTACTCAATAAGTTGGGATAAGCAAAAAAAAAATAACCTAGATAATCAAGCTTAAAGATATTGCCTACAAGTTTCAATAGTGAAATATTATAATCTGAAATTATAAGGTAACTAAGGGATCAACGTTTTTACATGTTGGAAATGAGGCTTTAATTATTTAAACCCGCCGTAATTCATATACAGTACAGATTTTACCCCTAATTATACGGAGTAGTAGTATCATCTTTGCAACGATGCTTTCCAAGCATATAAATATTTTATCTCTTTGACAATAAAAGTTAATGCCATCATCTGTGAGAGGGTTAAGTTATTTTATAAAACTCAAGTGCTACTACGTTCGCCTAAAGGGTGTATGAGAATTTATTATAAGTTCTCATACAGATAGATAACACCGATAAATAACAAAAGGACGCTGCATTTCAGAGCACTTGGTGTTTAACACAACCATTCGCCACAACATGAATTCATTTCCACCAAAGAGCGTGTATACAGAGTGTATTACATTACGTATTCATTGTCTCTATTACAAAACCATGGAAACACAACCATTTGAACGTAATCAACTGCAATGTGTTTGGAATCAATTGAGATGCTCTTGAATAAAACATACAAATAACACAACATCTATTACGTTATACGGTCGTTACGTATACGTTCCATAAATGTAGAATCATGACGAAGTAGGTAGTTAAAGGCTATCAACTGCAATTTGTTATGAATTGATTCCCATATTTTGTGTGAACAGAAAAGAAATTTATGCGAATAAAACCTTTGTGTAGAAAACTATCTACGAACATAACATTACGTATTCATTCTTGCATATTTACATTTACATTTTTAAATTTACATATTTTTAATTTTCATATTACTAAAACAGAAGAAATGTAGCGATTTTTTTCGAAAAAGCTTTAGGAAAAACGTCCATTGTCTAGACGACAGATGATGTTTTTGAGTAATGTTTTTTGATTGGAGAAATTTCAAACAATCTTGGATACATCTTGGATTACAATAAGCTGCAATATTTTGACTAATAACTCAGATAATTTAGTTCCAGATGTATGCACCAACAGCTTAAGTTTGGTTCGAACCGATTGGCGCCAACACATTGGTTATGGCGCCAATCGCCATTAGTGATTTCACGGGCTTGAACCTCATACACCCTGCGATCTACAAACTAGGCTTATCTCGCGTCATGCATAATGCAACTAGAAAACCTAACCTAAACAGCCTCGATAATCTTTTAAAATACATCAAAACAAATACCGTCCTATAAGACAATTCGCACTCTATACCAGTAATAAACAGGTAACCGACTCGTCATTTCGTTCTATCATTCCTATCGTAAAAAGAATATCGCTGAAGCAACAGAGAGCGCAGTTCCAGACAAAATGGCCGCCAAGGGACTAATCTGAAATAACACCGATCTTGCCCTTAGATTACAGTTATAGACGAGATATAGAATTGAATTGATACTAGACTTTTATACTATTGTAAAACCTGCATTCTGTGTTTTACGCTGGCTGCGCTTGAGTTCGTTGATGTCGATTAAATATTTCTTTTTTTATTTCAGGGTATATTTTAGTTTTACTTTACCCAGTTTACAGTTTTTGGCAAGCATACTAGAGGACACGCAACAGTTTGAAAATAGTCATTTGATATGATCGAAATAGTTTTTACAGGAAAATAACAAGAAATAACAAAAATAACACGCACTGAATAATAAATACAGAAAGGATTATTTTATATCTTGGGCATTTTTCAAGATAGAAATTTCAAAATTAGTATAAATGTGTATTTTAGTAGGTAAAAAGAGCTTACAAAGTTTCGTTCCAATATCTCAATCCGTTTCAATATGGTGACCATTTAAAATCATTAATGCCAAATTTCATGAAAACCGTAAATTTTAAGAACATTTTTTTCCAGATCAAAAAGATAGAGAATGTAAATCTATATCAAATTAGACCTTGTTTGTTAAAATCGGATGACAAATAACCGAGTTATCAGTTTTCTTCTACATTCGGTTACGCAATTTAATAGGACTACCATACAGCTCTGTAAAATAACAAATAATAAACGATATTCTAACCTAACCCAAGATAAAAAATAATTAAAAAAAATACAAACAGACCGACAAACAGAAATTCAGGTATTTTAGACCCATATACTTATATGGCATTTTATGTTTTTCCACAAAATATGTCCAGACAATTTGGAAACACCCTGTGTTTTCCACAATATGGAAACGCACATTACAATAATTGAATACAATTGCCTTTTCGATTAATATTACCTAGTCTGCAACCCTAACACAAAATTGTTTATTCAAAATGAATATTTCAATAGCTCTAACAAGCTGAATGATTAACGCTTCATCATTAGTCCACTTCATTTACATTGAGCGTAATTCTACTCTTTTAAACTCTGTTAACTAAAATAAAACATTGCACTCTGTGCATAACTAAGTGAACGATTGCTTATTTATTATTAAACTTTGAAAACAAATGAATCACGGATGGGTAAAGAGAATATATACAACCCATTGATTAATAGATAATTAATAGTTTTATCATGTAGTGGAGCAAAAGAAATAAATAACTAAAGAACGCTGCATTTCAGAGCACTTGGTGTTTAACACAACCGTTCGCCACAACATGAATTCATTTCCACCAAAGAGCGTGTATTGTGTATACAGAGTCTATTACATTACGTATTCATTGTCTCTATTACACAACAATGGAAACACAACCATTTGGACGTAATCAACTGCAATGTGTTTGGAATCAATTGAGATGCTCTTGAATAAAACATAATACAAACAATTGTGCATTACCAAACACTGGCTTCTAGACGGAAAACTGTTTAAACGTAACTGAGATGTGTTGGGAATCATTTAAGTGGCAGAGAACAGATCATGCCACTGAATAAAACATTTACTATAGCAACCAACCTATCGTGGGGTAAGTAGGCCTATATTATGGGAAATGGTGGAAAACGGAGTCGATCAATACGATGCAAGTTACAAAACAGTGGAAACATGGTGAACTATTTTAACATCAACTACAGATCATGCCATAAAATAGATTTATTATTGAAAACAGCGTATTGGGATGATAAATATAAAAGAATATTAGAAAATATAATAAACAATTACTATGAACATTACGTTATATTGGAAATAAACCATATGTTTTAACAATAAAATAAATAATTATGATTACAACACATGTTACTAGGAAAGAGTTGTAAGTAAAACAAAGAGCATTTGAAATAGAATGTTGAAGTTTAATGAACATCCTCTCATTATTTACCCCGTGGTGTGCACAGAGCAAATAAAACTAAACCAACTGATTTACCTAAACAGCTTTTACCACAAATAAACTTTATTCCAGGGCATGTCTTGGTTTGCGTGGCGACTGCGAAATATCTTCCGTCAGACTTAACACTTTCCTGGCAGCGATGTCTTATCTTGGTAGTACTGCGGGCAGGCACGAGAGCACGGGTAAAGCTCGGGGAACTCGGCAAATTTATACCAACGACTTTGAATACTGGAGTAGATCCCATCTGTAGCTAATTATGTGCTTAAAGGAAACATGTTGAATGGTTCTGACGTGGAGAGCAATCTTGAATACTTGGAAAGCTTCTTATCATATAGAACTATATTTTTCATCGGTAGTTGAACTAGCATCATAAGGGGAACTCCCTGACTGACGGACTTTGATGGTGGCCCATGGATATAGTCTGTATGACGGAACCTGTCTCCTAACCCATCGTTTCCCTGGAGACTGGACAATGGTATAAGGCCCTGATAGAGGTCTGGAGACAAGTACCATCATACAGACTATAAGAGCGAATGGTAATAATGGACTTCCAACCAACAGATCTCACATGCTGGATTCATTAGATCAGCCGTACCCAAAACGAGTAAAAATATTTGATTTCATAAACACTTTCCTGATGGTTTGCCCCCAAAAGAAGACAATATTAAAATAATAAACGCGTCTATATAATTACCATGACTTCAAGAGGCTAACTGCCTTGATACTAAGATGAAATACAACAAATCAACGAAGAAAATTCAAACAAAATTTTACCTTAAGTACACATGTAGTCTTATGTATGGTTACATATATGAAACCTGTCTCAAAATGCACCAAAAAGTCACATAAAACTATCAAAATCCTTATCTTTCAAGAAATACTATATAAGATACGAACACTTTCATTTTAATTTCAAAACAACAATAAAGTAAATGTTCATTACATAGAGTAAACACGAGATTGTAAAGCGCTTTTTCCTGTACCCGTTTCATAACGATGCTAAATGACTAAAGATTACAATATAAAACACTTTGTGGATTTTATTAGTTTCTAAAATGGAAAATAGAGATAAAATATAAAACCGCTAGCATCATGATTGCATGGTACAGCGGTCTCTCTGGAC